ACAACCGCTCCCCTCCCCCCAGCAGAGAACAACAGAAATGAGAAGGGCACTGCAACCTAGGAGCCTGCAACCTAGTCATATGCCCTTGACTGGAATCGAGTCAACAACCCTTCTATCCACAAGCCAACACACTATCCATGAGCCATATCAAGCAATGACAGCCCTTCTTTCTTTCTTTTTATTTTTTTAAGCTGTGTGGGGTTGCCACTGAGAATTCTGGGGGCTAGTCCCTAAGCTGGACCCCCCAGCAGAGAACATCAGAAATGAGAAGGGCACCCACACAACATCTGGCTGTAAAAAGCAGGGGTGGAGTGGTGGGGTGGTGATGGTGGTTGCTGTCTGCCGAGGAGAGAAGGCTGGACAGACAAGATACCCTCGTGAAGGGCCAATGCACACAATTGCCTGTGGAACCACCCACCCTGTGCTCCAGCAGAGGGAGGGCAGAGTGGACTGGAGCGATGTGAGCAGAAGCCGGCATCAGGAGCTCTGGGGTGGGAGCTCAGAAGGCAGACACTGGGGTTTCCTGAGCCATCCCCTCAAGCTGCAGAGATCATCTTTCTCATGCAGGCGTTTGTTATTCAGGAGATATTGCCTGGGGGGAAGACAGTTGACCCACCCTATTGGAAAACACCTTGGCTTTTAGAAGACTGAGAATAACAATTAGCCTCTAGGCAGAAACAGCATTTGACAGGGTCCTGCACTAGAGATTGAGAGGCATAGCAGATCTACCTATAATACCATAATACATAGTCACAAACCCAAACAGACAGCCAAAATGAGGAGATAGAGAAACAACCCACAAATGAAAGAACAAGAGAATTCACCAGAAGAGGAGAGGAATGAAATGGAGATAAGAAATTTATCTGAAATACCAGTAGAATTCTGAATAATGATGTTAAAGATGCTCAACAGCATGAGAAAAGATGTAACTATGAAAAGAGAAATAAAGAATGACATAGCCCAAACAAAGAACACATTGGGTGCTTCAGTTCCAAAGAAAAAGATGAAAAGGCATTGTTCCCAGGGAATATGGAAGGTTTTGTCACTGGAGATGAGGTTGGTGATGAGGAAGATTTGGAATTTCAGAAACTTCACACATTGGGCATGGCATTTAAGTCTGGTGAACAAACATGATGATGGATGGTTTGGTTGAAATTAAGGTAGACAAGATCAAGGGACTTGATCAAGAAAATGAAGGACTTTTGGAAAATGGAATTGAAAATGAGGAAAATACAGAACCCGGTGCTGATCTGCTGAGAATTTTGATGATCCCAACAAAAACACAAGCGAAAATGCAATGGCCAACGTGCTGAAAACAAGGAGGACTATCCAATGCCAGATGAGTACAGAATTGAACCATATCAACCCAATGGATTATGTAATATCTAAACAGGGTTTTACTATAAACTGTGTTCCCTTTTTTATACAGATGAACAAGTTGCAAAGACTGCTCATTGCAGCAGCCTTCCCCATGATCAGAAGTTAAAGAAATTTCTGAATAAGTTGTCAGAATGCAGGCAGAAGAAAGAAGTTTAAGATGTGCAAGAAGCTTAAGGATTTCAAAGAAAATAACAATTCTTCAGTTTCAATGATAACCTTTTTTATTTTTTTTGTAAACTTTAAAAAAAATATATTTTATTGATTTTGTATAGAGAGGAAGGGAGAGAGATAGAGAACTAGAAACATCGATGAGAGTCATCGATCAGCTGCCTCTTGCACACTCTCTACTGGGGATGTGCCCGCAACCAAGGTACATGCCCTTGACCGGAATCGAACCTGGGACCCTTCAGTCCCCAAGCCGACGCTCTATCCATTGAGCCAAACCGGTCTCGGCACCTTTTTTATTTTTTTAAATTTTTTAAAAGAAATATATTTTATTGATTTCTTACAGAGAGGAAGAGAGAGGGATAGAGAGTTAAAAACATCAATGAGAGAGAATCATCGATCAGCTGCCTCTTGCACACCCCCTACTGGGGGAAGTGCCCACAACCAAGGTACTTGCCCTTGACTGAAATCAAAGGTGGGACCTTTCAGTCCCGACGCTCTATCCACTGAGCAAAACTGGCCAGAGCTGGGCTCTTTTGTTTTAATGGAAACATAATAGATGTCTGTTCTTATAGCAAAAACACATATACGGTTAAATTAATGAAGAATTTTTGTTTTATCAGAATAATAACAGAAAAAAAGAATAATAACAGACAAGTTCTTTGTAGAGATTGATTTTATAAGCTACTTAAGACAACTTGCATCACTAAAAAAGTTACATAGAACTATTCAAAGAAGTAAAATTTAGAAGTTCTAACTTAAAGACATGTAGAAACTTATTATTCCATTCAATAAAGAACAAAACCAATTGTATTTTCATTACTTTTCACCTGCAACATTCCACCTTTTAATCTGAGCCTTGTAGACTTCATTTGGTGTTTGAAGCTTTTTAAAAAAAATTTCATTTTTGATAACTTGATTAACTGAGGTTAGCAATTAAAATACAGGTGCAGTTTTCTTTTAATGTTATACTGTCGTTTAGATAATAAATATTAAGTAATTGGCTTTATTTATTTATTTATTAAAAATATTTTATTGATTTTTTACAGAGAGGAAGAAAGAGAGATAGAAAGTTAGAAACATCGATGAGAGAGAATCATCTATCAGCTGCCTCTTGCACACCCCCTACTGGGGATGTGCCCACAACCAAGGCAATGCCCTTGACCGGAATCGAACCTGCAACCTTTCAGTCTGCAGACCAACGCTCTATCCACTGAGCCAAACCGGTCTTGGCTAAGTAACTGGCTTTAGATTTTGTATTTTTCCCACCTTGGAAAATAGATAGAAACATTGATGAGAGAGAATCATCGACCAGCTGCCTCTTGCACAACCCCTATTGGGGATGTGCCTGCAACCAAGGTACATCCCTTGACCAGAATTGAACCTGAGACCTTTTAGTCCGCAGGCCACTGCTCTATTCACTGAGCCAAACCGGTTTCGGCTCAATTGTTATTTATATCAACTTTCCATTCTTGATCTGGATTGGGTTTGGGGCCGTTAAGTGATTAACTAAATCTGTAAGGTATATCTCATTGGGAGTGGAAATGGAGGAGGAGAGGTATACCAGTACAGCCTATAGGACAGGGGAAAAATACACATTAGCACTAGAAACTGGGGCAGTTTTGCTAGTTACATAATATAAAGATATAGACCTTTCTCTTTTGTTGCAACATAAAAAACCTCAGGGGGATTTTTCTTCGTATTTTTTTTATTATGATAAAAATACTTCATATAAAATTTACCATTTTTAGACAAGATCGGGCGCGTTCAGGGTGGTATGGCCGTAGACAAAATTTACCATTTTTAAATATGCGGCTCAGTAGGATTAATTACATTTACAATATTGTACCACCATATCTATTTTGGGGAGCTTTTCTTTTCATTAGACATATAAACTATAAATAATCACATTATTATAATGGGTCTGTATTTTTTGGTAGAAATTTAAAATTGGGAATATGGGGGGAAATAAACTTGAAGACTGGACTCATCATTAGTGACGGAATGTGGCTAGAAACATCTTGCAGAGGCATATCCATAGAAAGAGAAAGAGGAGACAAGTGCCCAGTAATTAGGAAGGCTGGAGTAGTAAGTATAGAGGAAAGTTATAAACAGTTAACTTATGAGACGATAAAAGGTCAGAGCAACTTTGGTCACAAAGTCTAGGAATGAATCTAGGAATGAATTTTTTTTTTAAAGGCTGCCCTTGTTTTCTGAAAGTTGTAGTTTCTTTTTGTTTATATATATATATATATATATATATATATAATTAATTTTTTACAGAGAGGAAGGGAGAGAGATAGAGAGCTAGAAACGTCGATGAGAAACAAACATCGACCAGCTGCCTCTTGCACACCCCCTACCGGGGATGTGCCCACAACCAATGTACATGACCCTGACCGGAATCGAATCCGGGACCTTTCAGTCCGCAGACTGACGCTCTACCACTGAGCCAAACCGGTTCTGGCTGTTTTAATATATTTTTATTGATTTCAGAGAGGAAGTGAGAGGGAGAGAGATAGAAACAGCAATGATGAGAATCATCCATCGGCTGCCTCCTGCACGCCCCCTACTGGGGATCAGCCTGCAACTCCTGGCATGTGCCTTTGGTTGGAATGGAACCTGGGACCGTTCAGTCCTCAGGCTGATGCTTTATCCACTGAGCCAAACCAACTAGGGCTAGGAATGAATTTTGACCAGAGTGGAACCGATGAGATGCTCAGGGTAAGAGAATTGTGCAAAAAAGGGGTGGTTTAAAAACCCCACAGTGGGCCAGGGAGCAGAAGCTGGGGTTTCCTGAGTTTAGGGCAGAGATCTGGGATTGGTGGGGAGTAGCCCCCTGTGGAATTTGAGAGCTGAGATTCAGAAAGGCCTGACTAGGCATAAGCATTGGTGAAATGTGTAGGGCTCCGAAGAAAGAATACGCTGCCTTAGCATTATTTCTTTGCAAGAGGTGGTGGGGGTGGAGTGAATGCTTCGTGGGGGTTAGACGGGGCAGAAAGCGAGGGTTAGTGAGCTCTGCGAAGGCGGGGCTGACTTGGCGGGAGATGGCGCGATTGCAGAGGTTCCTAGAAAGAGTCCGGAAGCAAAGGCTGGCGCTGGACAGGATCCATCGTCAGGAAGTCAGTAGACAGCCCGCTGGGCGGGTATAGGTCAAGGGTTCATATAAGTCAAAAGGACGGGTGGGGCAAAGTTGTCCGTTCCCGCCACGCTTCTCGCCTTGCGCTCAAAGAATAGAGGGGGAAAGCTACCAATCGGGGCAACTCCACTTCCGGCCTAGGTCCCGCCCCCCACCGCGCCCGGTACGTCATCAGCCCGCGCCCCCCGGCGCCGCGGGGTGTTGATCTGCCCCGCCCTCGAGGCGGTCGGAGCCCTGTCAGTGCCGGCAATGGCCGTGGCTCTGGCTCTTGGATTGTAAATTGGCGACTACAGCTTCCGACGTGGCCCCGGTCCCGATGGCGGCGGCGGCGGCGGCGGCGGCGGCCCTGCCTGCGGCCGACCCGCCTGCCGCGATCCCGCAGGCGGCCGGAGCCGCAGGGCCCACCGCCTGCCGGGACTTCTACTGGCTGCGCTCCTTCCTGGCTGGAGGTGGGTGCCCGCGGGGGACCCGGCCACCTCCGCGCGGGGTGGCAGGGCAGCCGGGGGCTCGCGGCCGCGGTGGCATCTTGGACAATGGCTGCTGCAGCCAGTGCCCTGCCAGATGCTGTCACCCTTCCCTAATAAATCACTTGACTCGGGGCAGCAGGGTCCTGGGAGGAAGGGTCTGGCGCTGTCGTGGAGCGGCTGTCGTGCTCACACAGCTGGGGACGTGGAAGGGCAGCCCCGGGCACCCGTTCTTCCGGGCGGGGTGGCACGGAAAAGGGGGAGTTTCTTACCAGGACCCCGGGATTCCAGGGCACTGTTTTCTTGTAGAAAGACCAATAGGTGGCTGAGAGTAGAGGTGAATTTTGCTGCTTAGCTTAAAAGAAAACAATAGCTTTTAAAACGCGGTTTTGAAATCTATGCAAAAACAGTCTACAACCAAAACCGGTTCCAGTGATGCTGGTAAACTCTGCCGCTGCTACTTGGCAGGTAGCCGGTGCAGCCCTGCGGTAGGGCCAGAAGGTTCATATTGTCTCCGAGAAATGCCTTCTGCCTTCCCATAAAGAGGTGCTTCAGTCCTTACCCCTTCTTAACTGATTGTGTGGGCTGTCATCGCGTACTTGTTAAGGCTAAGAATTAAAAAAAAAAATCAAATTATGTCGAAACCAGTTTGGCTCAATGGATAGAGCGTCGGCTTGGGGACTGAGAGGTCCCGGGTTTGATTCCAGTCAAGGGCATGCACCTTGGTTGCGGGCATATCCCCGGTAGGGGGTGTGCAAGAGGCAGCTGATCAATGACTCTCTCATCGATGTCTCTCGCTCTCTATCTCTCTCCCTTCCTCTCTGTACAAAATCAATAAAAATATTTAAAAAATCAAATTATGATGACTTATAGATCTGTCTGCTGCAGTAATTTTTTTTCTTTTTTAAAAAACTATGTTTTATTGACTTTTTACAGAGAGGAAGGGAGAGGGAGAGAGAGTTAGAAACATCGATGAGAGAGAAACATCAATCAGCTGCCTCCTGCACACCTCCTCCTGGGCATGTGCCCGCAACCAAGGTACATGCTCTTGGCCGGAATCGAACCTGAGACTCTTCAGTCTGCAGGCGGATGCTCTATCCATTGAGCCAAACCGGTTAGGACTGCTGCAGTAATTTTAAGAATTTATTCTGCTGTTGGAAAGGACATTCACTTATTTATAAAAGGAACATTTGAGTGCCTGCTCCATGCTCATTGTACATCAGGGAGCAAAACAAAATCCTGGAGTTTACATTGGTTGAGGAGAAAGACAATAAGCAAAATGAAAAAATAAGTTCTATAGTATGTTAGAAGGTGATGAATGCAATGGGAAGAAGTGAAAAGGAGAATGGAGCAAGAAAGTGGAGAGGTGCATCTGTATACATAAAACCCTAATATGCAAATAGACTCAACCGTGGAACAACTGAACAACTGGTCACTATGACTTGTGCTGACTACCAGGGGGCACGTGGACAGAACATGGCAAGTGTTGGCAGCTGTGGCAGAGCATGGAGCATGGCATCAGCCTCGGTGGGATGGTGGAGCAGGTGATTGGGGGCTCCAGATAAAGGCGGTTCACTGGTTGTTGTCATCAGGGTGAGCCTCTGGTGGTTACTGAAAATTCTTATATATATATATATATATATATATATATATATATATATATATATATATATATATTATTGATTTTTTACAGAGAGGAAGGGAGAGAGATGGAGAGTTAGAAACATGGATGAGAGAGAAACATCGATCAGCCGCATCCTGCACTCCCTTCCCCCCGCACCGGGGATGTGCCCGCAACCAAGTACATGCCCCTGACCGGAACCCAACCTAGGACCCTTCAGTCCACAGGCCGACGCTCTATCCACTGAGCCAAACCGGTTAGGGCTGAAAATTCTTTGCTTGCGTGCCTGGCGCTGGAACCTGCTGTTGGCACTGACGCTGCTTGCACCTGCTGCTGGCGCTGGAGCCACTGCTGGCACCTGCTGCCGGCACTTGGCGCCAGCCCAGATCACTCGGCACCTCAGCCGGTGCAAGCGGTGGCTGCCGGTCCCGATCACCCCTCAGGGCTTCTCCACTTTCCCCTGCTTCTAAGGGCTACCAGGGCTGGCAGCCACCGCTTGCACCTGCAGCTGGCACCGGAGCTGCTGCTCTGCGGCTCGCACTGCTGGGCCGGCCCCAATCACTGCGCTGTCAGCGGGTGCGAGCCGGGCCAGCGCCATCAGCGTGTGGGAGTGGAGGCCGCAGAAGTGGGGCTGATGGCAGAGAGGGCACCAGGGGCTGTGGGCAGAAGGGGCTGGGTGGGGGTGTGGAGGATGGGCCGAGACCCACCTCTGTGCCCACTGCAGCCTTGTAGCCCACAGTTCTTTTAAAGGGACACAAATTTGTGCACTGGGCCCTTGGAATTAAATAAGCTAGTCAAAATAAGTCTCCTTTGGAGGGTGACACGTGAGCAGACTTGAAGTGAGAGAGTTTAGCTAGTTGATGGCTAAGGAGGAGCATGTCGGGAGGAGAGAAAGTATTATTTAGAAAATCTGTAAGTCCATATTATAGACTAATTTGCAATTGTAACAATTATAAAAGTATTAGTTGACTATGAACAATGTTCATAATCTGTTAGTTGAATGTGGAAATATTACAACATATTAGAATCATATTGCGTTTTATACAAATAAACGTGCTTAGACAAAAGGCCAGAAGGACAGCCCTAACTGGTTTGGCTCAGTGGATAGAGTGTCGGCCTGCGGACTGAAGGGTCCCGGGTTCGATTCTGATCAAGGTGCACATCCCCAGATGGGGAGTGTGCAGGAAGCACCTTGGTTGTGGGCACATCCCCAGTTGGGGGGGGGTGTGTGTGCAGGAGGCAGCTGATTGATGTTTTATTCTCATTGATGTTTCTAACTCTCTCTCTCTTTCCCTTCCTCTCTGTAATTCAGATGATGGATAGTGGTTTGGATCAGGTAGTAACAGGAGAGGTGGTGAAAAATTGTGATAATCTGGATATAAATAGGACAAATAGGATTGTCTAACAGATTAGAAATGGGATAAGGAAGAAAGGTTGTGCTCATTGGCTGAAACGAAAGACTGGCTGGAGCAACTTTCATGATGGTTGTAGCAGGGAGATGAGGAGTTCAGTTTTAGACATGTTACGATTTGTGATTTGATTAGACTTTGAAATAGAATCATGGTATGTGTAGGTGAGGATAGCTGCCAGGACTCTCTGTATATATATATTTTTAATTTACTTTTATTGATTTCATAGAGGAAGAGAGAGGGAGAGAGAACTAGAAACATTAAAAATGAGAGGAAATAATTGATGGGTTGCCTTCTATACGCCCCCTACCACAACCCAGGCATGTGCCCTTGATCAGAATTAAACCCAGGACCCTGCGGCCAGGCCCGGAGCAGTGGCTGCCAGGCTGGGAGCGGCCAGGCCCGGGGGAGCAGGCGGGTTGGGTGCGGCCAGGCCCGGAGCAGCGGCTGCCAGGCTGGGAGCGGCCAGGCCCGGAGCAGCAGCAGCCAAGTCCAGAGCAACTAGGTCGGGAGCGGCAGTGACCAGACCCAGAGCAGCTGGTTGTGGAACGAACCAGAGCAACAGAGGCCAGGCCCTGAGCAGCCAGGCCCAGAACAGCTCGCTCCTCGCCTGCCCCTGCCCCACGGCTGCCTCTCAGACATGGCTGGAAACTTTCGTGGGAACTTGAGGGTCTGCTGAATCAAGTGATGAAGGCTTAGATCTGGATGTGTTGAGTTAGTATAGGGCTGGGGTGTTGATCTGTGAGTGCCTTGGGTGGGGCCTGGATGAGGCTGGTGGACCTATTGGGAAATGTCTTTTGTGTGAAGTGTATCATTGGGCATGTGGAGGTATTATTGATTTGAGAAAATGCTAAGTAACTGATTTACTATCTGAAAGGGGATTTACTATTGGGGAAAGGGAGGGAAGAAGAGACTGAACATAAACTGCACCTATGGATGAGGACAATGGGGGATGGGGAGGGGTCGGAGGGTGGGGTGGGAACCTGGTGGAGGGAGGAAGAAATGAGGAACCTTTGTAATAATATGAACAATAAAGATTGATTAAAAAAAAAAAAAAATATATATATATATTAAAAAAAAAAAAGAATTAAACCCAGGACCCAATAGGTTTATCGGGATGTAACCCATTGTAAATCAGGAATCATGCACACGTAAGGTGTCTTAGTTCATTTGGGCTGCTCTAACAGAAATACCATAATCTGGGTGGCTTGTAAACAACATTTATTTCTCATGGCTCTCAAGGCTGGGAAGTCCTAGATCATGGAGCCAGCAGATGGACATTCTGGTGAAGACTAGACAGCACCTTCCTTGCTGTGTTTTCACAGGTGGAAGGGGCCAGGGGCGTCTGGGGCCTCATTTATAAGGGCACTGATCCCATGGTTAGTGCCCTAATAATGGTTGAATCATATTATGCATTTTTTTAATAAGTAATGTTTATTTTATTTATTTATTTATTTTTTAAATTTAACTTTGTATGTATTTTTAAAATATATTTTATTGATTTTTTACAGAGAGGAGGAGAGAGGGATAGAGAGCTAGAAATGTCGATGAGAGAGAAACATCGACCAGCTGCCTCTTGCACACCCCCTACCGGGGATGTGCCCCCAACCAAGGTACATGCCCTTGACCAGAATCGAACCTGGGACCTTTTAGTCCGCAGACCGATGCTCTACCACTGAGCCAAACTGGTTTCGGCTCATATTATGTTTTATAAACATGGAGAACCCTTAGGTTTTAGGACCCATTCACCTCTTAAAACCCCACCTCTGAATGCCATCACATTGGGAATTAGTTTTCAACATATGAATTGGGGTTGGGGAGGCAGCACAAACAACATAGAAAAAGGTCTTTGTACATTATCGCCTTAGAAGCATTCCAAGCTAGTAGGGCTGTCCTGTATGCATGTTACTATCATCCAAATGATTGCATAGTGGCATATTGTAGGGGCTAAATACATAATTGCTGAATGTATGAACGAATGATTGAACTTTATGGTAAAAGTTGTTTGTTTCAATGCAAAAGTTATACAAAAGAAGAGGAAGTTGCTTCAAATAAAGCCTTACAGTTGAGTAAATACCTCCAAGTGTCTCTATAACCACATGTAGCAAGATTCCCAGTGTTCTTCAGTTATTAGGAGACAGATTTATATCCTTTAAACTTAATTTTATTTATTTATTTAAATATATTTTTATTGGAATCAGAGAGGAAAAAAGAGGGAGATAGAAACATCGATGATGAGAGAGAATCACTGATCAGCTGCCTCCTGCTCGCCCCTTACTGGGGATTGAGCCCGAAACCCAGGCATGTGCTCTTGACTGGAATCGAACCTGGGACCCTTCAGTCCACAGGCTGAGGCTCTATCCACAGAGCCAAACTGGCTAGGGCCAAACTTAATTTTAAGTATATTATGTTTGTTTGGTAAGTTACAGAGAACAAGGGCTAATCATCTGCTAATCATCACTTCTACTGGGCAGTGGAAGATCAGAGGGTGTCTGTTGGCTGAACAAATAATGATTTCCATCTGGAAAGAAATGGTATGCAATTTCTCCTAACCTCTTACATTTTTTTAGGTATTGCAGGATGCTGTGCTAAAACAACAGTTGCTCCTTTGGATCGAGTAAAAGTTTTATTACAAGCTCACAATCATCATTACAAACATTTAGGTGAGTTAATAGATGCTAAAGAAAAAGATGAATGAAAACATTATCCATCTGCACGCTTGGTTCCATTTGTGAATTATAGTAGAGGACCCAAAAGGGAATTAAAGTTTGGGGGCACATTTTACAAGGACTATCTCTTATCCAATTTAGTCTTCATTTGCAGTATGGTTATAATCATTTTAGTGTGCTGATATCCTCTAAACCAAAATCTTTGCATCATTGAATCATTGTTTATTGGAATTAATGTGCTACAACCTTGACAGACATGTTAACAGCATAATCTGATAAAAAAAATAATATCAGTGATGGAGATATGATTTATTCATTTTTAAAAAAAATATAATTTTATTGATTATTTACAGAGAGGAAGAGAGAGGGACAGAGAGCCAGAAATATCAAGAGAGAAACATCGATCAGCTGCCTCCTGCACACCCCCCACTGGGCATGTGCCTGTAACCAAGGCACATGTCCCCGACCGGAATCGAACCCAGGACCCTTGAGTCCCAGGCTGACGCTCTATCCACTGAACCAAACCAGCCAGGGCTGGTTTATTTCTTTAAACACTTAAGTATGCCTTCTAGAAATCTTAGTGCAAGCAGAATCCAGTGCAATTAGTATATATGGGTAAATGTACATTATAAAAAAATATGAAGCCCTTAGTTGTTCTTTACAAACATAAAAATCATTTAATTAACATGGACACTAATAATATATCATTGCCCAGGCCAGTTTAGCTCAGTGGATAGAGCATCAGCCTGCAGACTGAAGGGTCCTGGGTTCGATTCTGGTCAAGGGCATGTACCTTGGTTGCGGGCACATCCCCAGTTGTGGGGGGTGCAGGAGGCAGCTGATTGATGTTTCTCACTCATCGATGTTTCTGACTCTATCCCTCTCCCTTCCTCTCTATAAAAAATCAATAAAATGTATTTTTTTAAAAAGGCTAGAAGAATAAACATTAACATTAGTGGTTAATATTAAGTGGTGAGATTAGAGTAAATTTTTTTTCTCTAAGCCTGTGATTTTCAAACTTTTTCATCTCATGGCACACATAAGCTAATTACTAAAATTCTGCGGCACACCAAAAAAAAAATTAAAAAAAATAATTTGCTAATCTGATGAAAATAGTATAATTTTGATTCATTCACACTGGACAGTTATTGTTGTGTTGGTTGTTGTAATTAAAAAAAATGTTTTTGTTGACTTAAGAGAGAAAGGAAGGGAGAAGAAGAGAGAAACATAGATTGGCTGCCTCCTACACGCCCCCCTACTGGGGATTGAACCTGCAACCCCAGCATGTGCCTTAACCAGGAAGTGAGCTGGCAATCTCCTGGTGCATGGGGCAACATTCTAAACCACACTGACTTGACATTTTTTTATTTGACAATTTATGGCAGAAGAGGACAGTGCCCTGACTAAATGGTTAGGTATTGCATGTTTTAAAATTTTGGGATACACAGGTTGAACATGTTTTAAAATTTTGGGATACACAGTTTATAAGTTAATTTGAAATACATGTATTATCTTTTCAGTTGGAAAAAGATTAAAAAAGGGAAGAAATTAGGTTGAGGCAACTAACTCAGACCAGTCCATTGCTTTACAGTTTCATGCTTCAACTGATAGGAATGATGTATGCTCTGATGTATTAACTTATATAGAAATTACTATTCATATAATTCATCAAACAAAATTATATTATAAATGATGGCATTAGTGATCTATCTTTGATGAAAATTTGAATTTAGTTTTCTGTTTTAATATTTTTTTCCCTAAAAATAGGAGTATTTTCTACATTGCGTGCTGTTCCCCAAAAGGAGGGATACCTTGGATTGTATAAAGGGAATGGTGCAATGATGATTCGAATCTTCCCCTATGGTGCAATCCAGTTTATGGCATTTGAGCGCTACAAAACGGTGAAGTTTTGTTTTCTTTTGTTTCCTTAAATATCATGCTTTTGCTTTGGCCTATAAAGTTACTGTGGAAGAATGGCTAAAGTAATGCCTTTTTGAAGGAATAAGACTGTGATAGTTTAAAATTTGCAATATAACTTGGTTTTATAGTTATCTATTCTAGAATGGTTAGTCATTTTTGAGAAAATTGTCTATATTCACACTTATGAAGAATTTAAGAATCCTTCAAGTAATGTGCTTTTTGTGTCTCAGCTATAGGAGAGGAACATTGTGGCTTTAAAAAAAAAAATTTTATTGATTTTTTACAGAGAGGAAAGGAGAGAAATATAGAGAGTTAGAAACATTGATCAGCTGCCTCCTGCACACCCCCCACTAGGGATGTGCCCACAACCAAGGTACATGCCCCAGATCAGAATCGAACCCGGGACCCTTGAGTACGCAGGCTGATGCTCTTTCCACTGAGCCAAACCGGTTTTGGCAACATTGTGGCTTTTGATTTTCTTATTAAAATGGCAAAATCATACTTTAAAAGTTTGTTTATAAATAATGATTTTTTTAAAAAAATGTATTTTATTGATTTTACACAGAGAGGAATTGAGAGGGACAGAGAGTCAGAAATGTCGATGAGAGAGAAACACCAACCAGCTGCCTCTTGCACACCCTTCACTGGGGATGTGCCCGCAACCAAGATACATACCCTTGACCGGAATCAAACCCGGGACCCTTCAGTCTGCAGGCCGATGCTCTATCCACTGAGCCAAACCGGTCCCGGCTATAAATAATGATTTAATAAGTTAACAGCTTTTCCTGTCTTACTCATTGATCAAGTTTTTTTTTTTCTAGCTGACTGAAAGTTTATCTTCTCAAATATTCAAACTTCTTAACACAGAAGGGGGTTAAGTATGTTAAATTTCATAGTGTATCTTTTTTTTAATGACTCCATTAAATAAATTTATTTATTTAGCCGGGACCGGTTTGGCTCAATGGATAAAGCGTCGGCTTGGGGACTGAAGGGTCCCAGGTTCGATTCCGGTCAAGGGCATGTACCTTGGTTGCGGGCATATCCCCAGTGGGGGGTGTGCAAGAGGCAGCTGATCGATGACTCTCTCTCATCGATGTTTCTAACTCTGTATCTCTCTCCCTTCCTCTCTGTAAAAAATCAATAAAATATATTTTAAAAAAAATAAATAAATAAATAAATTTATTTATTTATTTATTTATTTATTTATTTATTTATTTATTAGATAGAGAGGGAGAGAGAGAAACATCAATGGGTTGCTTGCCATAAGCATCCTTCCAGGAATGGAATGCACAACCTGGGTGTGTGCCCTGAACTGGAATCAAACCTGCCACCTTTTGGTGTGTGGGAAAGAGCTCCAACAACGAGCCACACTTGCCAGGGCTCACAGTGTATCTTAAAAGTAACCATTAGGGATGGGACAACGTTCTAAGCTAGTCTGTCAAATAGAATGGATGTCTCCGTAATTAAGATTGCATTATCTGTGGAAGCATTTTATTCCTACTACTCCCGTTCACACTTTATTTGTGGTCATCAATGTGTAGTACACTCAGAAATTCTAAGGTAGATGCTCTGTAAAAGTACAGAGTTAGAGCAGAGGCTACAGAGGAAATATCTGACCTCTTTATGATGTGAAAGAACACTGTCCAGCTTCCTGTAAGAGTGCTCATTTCACTCCCATTTAAACCTGATTTTCTTTTTACTAGTTCTGTAACTCCTTTGAAGTAAGTCCTCATTATTAAACAGTGAAATGGGTAGCATTTTAAAAATGTCTAATTTAATTTGATGTGTTTGGTTTCTAGTTCATTACCACAAAGCTGGGAATTTCTGGCCATGTGCACAGATTAATGGCTGGATCCATGGCAGGTAAGAGGAGTGGGTATACTTTAGTTCTAACCAATTTAATTTGGTTTAGCCGATATGTGTGACATTGATTAAGTAGCATACATTTGTTAGCTTTCTATATTCTATTATGTAAGAAATCATTGATATTTCTACTCAAAACGAGCATTTTATATTAGGAGATGGTAAGGAATTGTCTAAACTTACAACAAAGGAAAAAACATACAGACTCTTTGACAATATCCTTCTGAAAATGTTTTTATTTTATTTTTCATTTTAAAATATATTTTATTGCTTTTTTCACAGAGAGGAAGGGAGAGGAATAGAGAGTTAAAAACATCTATGAGAGAAACCCATCAGCTGTCTCCTGCACACCTCCTACTGGGGATGTGCCCACAACCAAGGTACATGCCCTTGACCAGAATCGAACCTGGGAACCTTTAGTCCGCAGGCCAACGCTCTATTGAGCCAAACCAGTTAGGGCTTGTTTTGTTTTTCTAAAAAAAATTTAAAATTATAATGACTGTAGCAATACCTACTCCTATACAATGAAAATAGTTTCACTTCCTAGAAGCAATCAGTATTAATAATTTCTTATGTATCCTTTTTTTCTAATCCTACTCTATGGGATAAGAACTTTTCTTTTAGTTATCTCAAGACTCTTTCTATATACATAGATCTTATTATTATTATTATTATTATTTTTTAAGTATTGTGTTATATCCTTTTTTTTGAGAGGTCAAATTTCTTTCCTTTTAATTTTAGAACTGTGTTATATTCTAAGGAAATGTACTGTGATTTACTTAATCAATCCTCTATTGATTGACATTTGGGATATTTTCAGTTTCTGTTGTTACAAACAACACATTGTACTTTTGTGACTATATCTGTAGAATAAATTTTCAGAAGGGAAATTGCTTTATCAGAGGATATGTATGCTTAAATTTTGATAGACATTGGCAAACTGTTCTCCATAATGCTTTCAATGGCCTTTTACATACCAAAACTGGGTTTAAAAAAAAATTTTTAATACATGGAAATTAATTATGAATAAGTTTGATCAGCATTTCAAACTTTAGTGACCATTTGTATTTCTCTTAGTTGTTTCTATTCTTTAAATATTCATTTTTAGCCAAAACCGGTTTGGCTCAATGGATAGAGCGTCGGCTTGGGGACTGAAAGGTCCCGGGTTCGATTCCGGTGAAGGGCATGTACCTTGGTTGTGGGCATATCCCCAGTGGGGGGTGTGCAGGAGGCAGCTGATCGATGACTCTCTCTCATCGATGTTTCTAACTCTGTATCTCTCTCCCTTCCTCTCTGTACAAAGTCAATAAAATATATATATATAAATATTCATTTTTATAAGTTTTAGAATTAGGACATTTGTTTTCTTTCCTGTGAAATATTGCTAATATTTTATTTCCCAGTTTTAGATTTGTCTTTTGACCTTAACTTGTGTCTTAGAAAAGTTAATCTAAAAGTTGTTTTTAACGCCCTCATATAGAAGTTTTACATAGCCAAATACATTAGTCTTTTTCTCTGTGGCTTTAACATTTTGTGTTGTGCTTATAAATGCCTTTCCCTTTCTTTTTTTAAAAATATTTTTTTTATTGATTTCAGAGAGGAAGAGAGAGGGAGAGAGACATAGAAACATCAATGATGAGAGAGAATCACTGATCGGCTACCTCCTGCACACCCCCTACTAGGGATCCAGCCCACTTCCCCGGGCATGTGCCCTTGACCAGAATCGAACTCAAGACCCTTCAGTCTACAGGCTGACACTCTATCCACTGAGCCAAACCAGCCAGGGCAATGCCTTTCCCTTTCTAAGAGCAACAGCTATTTGCCAGGTGGCCAGATGGTGTAGAAATATTTGAATATTTTATATTGGCATGAGTAATATTAGCCAACATGTATCGCTCAGATGCTATGTGCTGTTCACAGACCTAAGCCTGTGACATGTCATCTTGCCCATTGGTATGGAGATAGTCAGTTTTTCCTTCTGATATCTTACGATGAAAGTAATAGAATTTACAAAAATACTCGTGACCCATTTACGATGTACTATTTTAGGGCTAACAGTATATCTTTACAATAGGAAGAGCTTGAAAAGATTTTACAAACTGACTCTTTACTTACAAAGTTGTTTTCAGCTGATGATATTATGATAAAATTGTATCAATATCACCTTTGATTTCATTGCTGTAATTTGAGAACACAACAAATGATAGGAAAGATGTATGTATCTTTCATAACTGACATATATGATGTGATGTAATGATAGGAGAGAGATAAGTGTCAAAATCTTATTCTACATTTAAGTTTCTGGTTTTTTTTCAGGGATGACAGCAGTTATCTGTACTTACCCTCTCGACATGGTTAGAGTTCGCCTAGCATTCCAGGTGAAAGGGGAACACACTTACACAGGAATTATTCATGCATTCAAAACAATCTATGCAAAGGTATATATTTACTTTTCTCATCTATAGCATGTCTTTTTATATTTAGGAAAATACTTTGAATATGATCTAGATAATTATTCTATTATTTATAAATAATTGATAATAATAATATTTGTGAAAACACATCTGTGTTTCAAGATGGGTCCCAGAATAATATTTTTGTTATGACGTATGCTTTTTCCCCTTACTAATCCTCCCCTGAGGATTTTTTTTTCTTTTTAATATATTTTTATTGATTTCAGAGAAGAAGAGAGAAGGAGGGATAGAAACATCCATGATGAGCCCTAACCAGTTTGGCTCAGTGGATAGAGCGTAGGCCTGCGGACTGAAGGGTCCCAGGTTTGATTCCCGTCAAGGGCATGTACCTTGGTTGCAGGCATATCCCCAATAGGGGGTGTGAAAGAGGCAGCTAATCGATGTTTCTCATCAATGTTTCTAACTCTCTATCCCTCTCCCTTCCTCTCTGTTAAAAAAAAAAAAAATCAATAAAATGTATATAAAAAAAGAAAAGAAAAGAAACACCCATAATGAGAGAGAATCACTGATTGGCTGCCTCCAGCAAAACTCCCACTGTGGATGGAGCCCACAACCCAGGCATGTGCCATTGACCGGAATCAAACCCGGACCCTTCAATCCGCGGGCTGATGTTCTATCCACTGAGCCAAAATCAAATCTGGGACCCTTCAGTCTGAGGGCCTACACTCTATCCACTGAACAAAACTGGCTAGGGTGATGTATGCTTTGTAAAAAATGTTTACTTATTGATTTTTTTTAATTATTATTATTTTTTTTAGAGAGAGGGAAAGAGGGAGAGGGGGTGAAAGAGAAAGCGAAACATTGATTTTTGTTTCTTATTTATGCATTCATTGATCGCTTCTTTATGTGTCCTGACTGGTGATCAAAGCCACAACCTTAGAGTATCAGGATGATGCTTTCACCAACAGAGCTATTAGGCCAGAAATATAATGTATGTTTTTGTTCTTTGATGTGTATCATAATGAAAGAAATGTAATCTTACTTCTGTTGTTTCTTCATTCAAAAGGAAGGCGGTTTCCTTGGATTTTACAGAGGCCTGATGCCTACTATATTAGGAATGGCTCCATATGCAGGTATGTTTCAAATTTAGCAGAATCTTGGTTTTTATTTTCTTCTAAGAATGATTTTTTAAGTTTAGCATTTTATATTTAAGCCAGTAATCTGTCAGGATTATTTTTTTTCCTCCTTAGAGTAACCATTTGACCAGCACCACTTACTAAGTTGTCCCTCCTTTCCTCAGTGATCTTCAGTGCTACTTCTTAAAACAATAATAGCGTGCAGTTTCATAAATCTTTATAGGACAAGACCCAGGACTTTATGCCCCCCCCTCCCAGGAATGTAAGAACTGTAGATATTTTATTTCACACACTTTGGAATCAGTTTTTGAAGTTGCAAAGCACTCTTATTAGGATTTTGAATGAAATTTTATACAGTTTTGGGACATTTTTGCTAGATACAGTCATAGACACCTTATAAGCTTTGTCTTTTAGAAAATTACATTTTAAGTTTATTGCTTGATTTAATTTTTACATGATCTTATAACTTGCCATTATCCTACTTGTTGAGATGGCTCTTGCCATTGGTCCTATGGAAGAAGGAATCACTGAGTCTGAAACTCAGAGATTAAGGTCAAGTGATAAGCTTATTATTAAAGACCATGAAATATAGGAGAAGGCAAATAAATTTGTATATTTATAAAGAGTAGGGAAACTTTGGCTGGTGTGGCTCAGTTGATTGGGCATTGTCCTGTGTCCTGGTCAGGGCATATGCTGGGTTCAGGGCTCAATCCCCAACAGGGGGCAGTGCAGGAGGCAGCTGATCTATATCTCATTCCTCATAGATGTTTCTCTCTCTCCCTCTCCCTTTCTCTCTTTCTAAAAATCTATTTTTTAAAAATCTTTAAATAAATAACTTCAGGAAGGTTAATAAAAAGAGTAAGGGGGTAAGGGTTTAAAAAATAAGCAAACAGCCGAGACCGGTTTGGCTCAGTGGATAGAGTGTTGGCCTGCGGACTGGAGGGTCCCAGGTTCGATTCCAGATAAGGGCATGTACCTTGGTTATGGGTACATCCCCGGTGGGGGGTGTGCAGGAGGCAGCTGATCGATGATTCTCTCATCGATGTTTCTAACTTTCTATCCCTCTCTCTTCCTCTCTGTGAAAAATCAATAAAATATTAGAAAAAAAATAAGCAAACAAGGTAAGAAAGGAGTTTAAAAAAGAAAAAGAAAAGCGACACATAGAAATCAAATAGCAAAGTATAGAGACAAGTCCAAATATATCAACAATCACAATAACAATTAAATAGACTGACAAAATATTTTGCAGACTGGATTAAATAAAATATCCAGCAACAAATGATTACAAAAGAAATACCTAAAACATATAGACACGAAAAAGTAGAAAATAAAAAGGTGAAAAAAATATATACCAGGCAAACATTAACTTGGATATGGCCAAAAATAATTATGAGGTAGGTAGCAATTTGAACAATGACTAGATGCTACTCAGAATTTATTTTAAAGTTTCAAATGGTATAAGGTCATGCTTTAAAAAAAAAAAAATGTACATATTGAGGTATTATCCTGGACAGAATTTTTGTAAATGCTTATTTGTTCTTAAGCACCAAGTATCTCTTTAAATATGTTTTTAAAATTTAGTAGATACCAAAATGTCTTGATTAATACTTAGGTGATAGGAATGCTTGAACTCTATTATTGATTTTTTTAATGTACAACTTTAATAGGTCTATTATAAAATTGTGTAAATTTTCAGCAACATCAACTTCATATTATAAATACTTAATTCAATATTTATCAGAGTTCATGTGCCTTGGGAGGCAATATGAACAATTGTCTCATGGTCACAACTCTTTTTTGAAGACAAAATTAGATGCCAAGTTAAAATAAAAATGCTTTGTCACTTCTGAATTTTTGCCTCTATTTTACATTATCATCATTATTGTTATTATAAATAGAAGTTGTCATATTTACTTGTAATTATTAATTTTTTTAAGAAATATATTTAAAAAAATATATTTTATTGATTTTTTCAGAGAGGAAGGGAGAGAGATAGAGAGCTAGAAATGTCAAGGAGAGAGAAACATCAACCAGCTGCCTCTTGCACACCCCCTACCAGGGATGTGCCCGCAACCAACGTACATGCCCCTGACTGTACATGCCCCTGACCGGAATTGAACCCAGGACCTTTCAGTCTGCAGACCGACGCTCTACCACTGAGCCAAACTGGTCTGCTACTTGTAATTATTTATCATGGATATAATATTTATGCATATAAAACCTTGGAAAATAGTTCAGTCACATTTCTTTATAAGGTGGCATTGTAATCACCTTTGCCCTTATTCAGCAAACTGAAGTATATATTAGTGTGTGAAAATCAATGCTATAAGTTTTTATAGGTGGTAATTTTGTTGTCAGTAGATTACTTAATTGTTTTTTTTTAATCTTAGAGTAAGCCCAATATAAGGCAACAGGAAATGCATAGCTTCCTGAGTTAATTGGTAATTTTGTAAGAATGGTGTCTTTTCACAGCTCGTGTTCTGTTAAGCATCGTGGTGAATTTATATTTTGTTTTTCAGGTGTTTCATTTTTTACTTTTGGTACCTTAAAGAGTGTTGGGCTTTCCCATGCTCCTACCCTTCTTGGCAGACCTTCATCAGACAATCCTAATGTCTTAGTTTTGAAAACTCACATAAACTTACTTTGTGGTGGTGTTGCTGGAGCAATAGCACAGACAATATCGTAAGTTTCTTCATCATCTTAATTCAGTCAAATTACAGTTTCCCAATCCTGATTTTTAGCATTGGTTAATCATTTTTTCTAACAGATTATTAAAACACATGATTCCTTGCAAAAGATGTCTTAATACATTTCTTTTCAGACATGCCTGCACTTTTAGCATATTATAAATAATTTAGCGCCAATTGACCAAATTAGTTTTAACCCACCCAATTTCCTGTCGATTTATTTACAAGAAAGAAAGGTAGAAAAAAACAACAACAACAGAGTATAGTCTTCATCCATATTTTCTCATGAATTCACCTAAATGAAGTTCTGAATTTTGAGCCATTTATGTGTTTGTGTGTGTAAGGCACAATTTCTCTTGCACTAAAATCTCGAAGGCCTGCTTTGTCAGACTGTGTATGAGGCTTTGGAAGGTTCCCTGAAGGAAAAACACAGTTATTGCCTCAGGAAGCCTATACTGTTATTGAGATAGTAGCAATACAATGGAGTTACTTGTTAATTTAAGTGCTAGTGGAAACATAAAGATATTATTATAAAATACTTGGAAAGGTGGCTTCAAAGAATTTCTCTAGACCAGGAGTGATTGTGTAGATGAGATAAAAGAGCTGGAATACTGAGAATTAGAAACTTTTCAGGAATAGGAAGAAGAAAAGCTGTCTGTGACTGAGGAGTATCCTGTAAAACAGGAAGTAGTAGCATCAGACTCAAAACAGAGGATCCAATGGAAAAAGAAAAGTTAGACAAGTACTGAAAAGTAAGATGTTTATCAGATTTTGCAGTTGTTACTTTTGTGAAAGCAAATCTGGTGAACTTGTGTGTGAGAACAGATCACACTAGATTGAAGGTGGAGAAGACATAGGTGTGTGGTTTCCTTTTGGAAACCTTGCTGTGGGATCTTGTTCATTTGCAGAGATATGATCACCTCTGGCTGTTATTCTCTTCTTGCCTTTTTTCTATATTACTCACTTCCAACGTAAAGCCTTAATATCTGTCTTCTCTTTCCCACTTCTCTTCTTAAACTACATTCTATACCATTAATTCTTCACAGATTCAGTGGCTCCTTCTCAGGTCTTTTACTCTCCTTTCAGTTGTTCTAGTTCCTTGGTTGTTTTAGCAGGGCCCTCTCTTGTCAGTCATGCTCCTTACCCTTACCCTTCCCTTTTGCTGCTCACGTCCTCCTCTTCCTACCTATTGGTGTAGACCTTTGCTCTCCCCTTAAATATCTATAATTAGCTTCTCTGTCCTTATGGTTTCAATGGTCACTTCTCTACAGATAACCGGTTCTGTTTAAGCCTCCATTATTGACTCACTATTACTTCTCTGGCAAGCTCTTGGATATTTCTACTTGGATTTCTGCAGTCAGTGCCAACTCTGTAATTCAGGTATTCCTTTCTTTCCTCTTTGTATTGATAAACATTGTCCTTATAGTCCTAGTAATACCTTGAGATCATTTTTCACATTACCTTGAAACAATTTTTCACATTTTACATATCTATGTAGTCGTTAAGTCTTATCATTTTTCACGTCAGAACTTTGCCTGCAGTGCTGTTTTCTTTCTTCCCCAATGTTATTTCCCTAGTTCTGATCCTTGGACCTGTCCTCTTACATTCTCTCCTTTATACTAATCAGTTTCTTCTGTCCACTTCTTTTCCTGCTTGGAAACAGAATCATTCAGGTTGAGGTTTTGGTCCCTTCACCCATATGAAGTTTTTTCTCTCCCCAAACCTCATTAAAAAATCATTCCTGGAGATGCTGTTGAAGTACATAGGGAGTTTCACCTATTGGTACTCTTATTTCTTGAACTGCTTGGTTGGTGCATTTTTTTTAAAAACCTATTTCATAATAAATTTAAATGTATATAAAAGTATATGATTATTTTTCGTCACATATCACTTATGTATCTATTAGGTACCATGAAGAAGTTTGAGTAGGAAAGTAGAAAGCAGCTTTGTGACACTGGAAAGACTCAGTTTGTTAGAATTTTCTTACCTTAATGCTAGGATAGCAGTACGTTTGTCATGCAGATGTTGTGAAGATGAAATGGTCTAGCACAGTTCCTAATATAAGTAGTCAATATTAGCAAAATAAGAGTAATTAAAAAAATCTCCTGGAATCCTGCTCTGAAAAGAGATTACTTTTGTATATTTCATTTCAGGCAATCTTTACATAGAATTTTCTCTGTCCTTTAAATGTAATTCACTATATTGTTAATTTTAGTCCTTAAAAGAAATTTTTTTGGTTGATCTATTGTATACAGGGGATGTGGTGACTGTTCTTAGAGTAAGGTTCTCAACTGGGTGATTGTGACTCCAGTGAACATTTATTAATGTCCGGAGACATTTGTGGTTGTCACAACGGGGGTAGTGCTCCTGGCATCTAGTACATAGAAGCCTGGGATGCACCCGCACATCCTACAGCGCACAGGCAGCCCTTCCCAGTGAGGCATCCACCCCAATGCCAACAGTGCCACAGCTGAGAAGCCCCGTCTCAGGTTACAAACGTGAAAAGCACCCTGTTCGTTTCTGCAGGAAGTGGCATTTCGTTTGGACTTAAGGAATGAATAAAACTTGATATTGTGATGGGAGAGGAGAACCATCTAACCTGAGGGAACCGCACAAGCAAAGGCCAGGAGACCTCTGTATTATTGATTTATTTTATTTATGTGCCTATATCCCGACTCCCAGATTAGACAAAACAATAGGAATATAGGAGCACATTATTTCTTCGCATATATAGGGCTTTGTATTCAATAATTGTTGAGCAGGAAACTAGAAACCATTTTTAAGTCTTGCTTTTTTTATCCTTTCAGCTATCCGTTTGATGTAACTCGTAGGCGAATGCAGTTAGGAACTGTTCTTCCAGAATTTGAAAAGTGCCTGTAAGTTCTCCATTTGTTACTGTTTCTTTTCTTTAGGAAATGTAATGTTTAAAGTAAGTAGTGAGAGAGTACTGTGTCTCACCGGTAGTCTAGAACTCCCAGTTTGTCTCCCATAGTTTAACTTGATTACCTTGTAAAATTTACAAATATACATATATATTTTTATTGATATCAGAGAGGAAGGGGAGAGGGAGAGAGACAGAAATATTAATGACCAGAGAGAATCATTGATGTTATGTAATTTCAATTTTTCTGGTAGCCACATTAAGACTTGTATAAAAATAAACATGAAATTAAAAATATTTCTATTTAATCTAAAAATATAACTTCAATTTATATCCCTTTTAAAAATATGCTTTTATTGATTTGAGAGAGAGAGAGAAAGGTGGCAGGAGAGAGAAAAACATTTATATAGGAGTGAGATATAGATCCACTGCCTCTAGTGGGGATTGAGACCTCAATCCAGGCTTGCACCCTGACTAGGAATTGAACCAGTAACCCCGTGTTTCTCTCTCTCCCTCTCACTTCCTCTATGACATCAATAAAAATATATTTTAAAATATATATTTATGAAATTAAAGACTACATCAGTATTTCAGATATTATTATAGAATAGTGTTTCCAGTAAATGTCATTAGCACAGACAAACAAAATATATCTAATGAGCCTAGCAATTCTTTGCATAGTGCTTCTACGAGTTTGGGATTAATTGCAGCTTTTTTTTTTTTTTTAATATATATTTTATTGATTTTGTACAGAGAGGAAGGGAGAGAGATAGTTAGAAACATCGATGAGAGAGAGTCATCGATTTGCTGCCTCTTGCACACCCCCTACTGGGGATGTGCCCGCAACCAAGGTACATGCCCTTGACCGGAATCGAACCTGAGACCTTTCAGTCCCCAAGCCGACGCTCTATCCACTGAGCCAAACCGGTTTCGGCTAATTGCAGCTTTAATGTGAATTTTTAGCTTGTTTTAGCACTTGTGTTCCAAAACCTATTAAAGATGTCATTTTGGCTGCTTTTTAAAATGCTATTATGGATCTTAAAATTGTCCCTTCATGAGTGGGCTAAAGATGTCATCTTTTTAACCACTGTCTTTCAGTACCATGCGGGAGACGATGAAGTATGTCTATGGAAACCATGGCATTCGGAGAGGATTGTATCGTGGCTTATCTCTGAACTACATTCGCTGCATTCCCTCTCAAGCAGTGGCTTTCACAACATATGAACTCATGAAGCAGTTTCTTCACCTCAACTGAAGGAAAAAATCGTGATTTCCTCTCCTTAGTAAATCCTCAGAGGGAGAAATAAAATGTTACTTTAATTGGGGGGAGAACATTACTTGAAGGGGGACACTTACCCTCCCACAGGAACCACTGGTGTTTTAGTACTTGATTTTTTTATCATTACAAATCAAAAGTGCTTACTGTACCTTTTGATGCCAAAAGTTACCCTACAGAACATTGAAAACATTTCCTAAACTGATGCTGGCTAATCAGTTAGGATATTTGAAAGTGTTATTTGTAAGTAAAACTTACTTAAAACGGGACTCAAGAGGTTGTCATTAGTTTTATCATGCTGTTCCAAGCTTTTCATTGTAATTATGATTTTCAAAGACTCTAACAATGCTTATTATTATCACAACAAACAGGCTTTGCAGCAGAATAATGAAAACTGAACTTTTAAGTTATATAAGCTGTAGCTTAGAAGCCGGCATGGAAATATTATTCTTACTATTTCTCTTCTTACAATTCTGCTCCACTGGATAAAAGGACAAATATTTTTCTCTTCACTTTTTCAAAAAGCAAACGTTGTATTTAAAAAGTAGCCATATAGAGACTCAACAAGTGAAGAATTTTTCAGATATTGCTAAAATATTATTACCAGATACTATGACTGATTTAAATATTTTAAAAGTCAACATATTTCACAAAGGTAGTAATAGTAAATACTGACTATCTGCTCTCAAAACAGATTATCATTATAGATTTGTTTGGTTAGATGGTTTAGTGTATACTAGGACATTTATTTCGGTACACTATGAAATATCCATTAATATAGTTGTGAATGTCAAAGACTGTTTCTAAAATATTGTCATGATACATCAACTTGTTCTTCCATGTAAAATAGTTTTAGTGTAATATAAACTTAAGTAGAAATGTAAAAATCATTTGAATTGCTATTCTTTATGTTAAAATGGTTTAAAATGTAAGAATTCCATTTATTGTGTGTAAAACACTTTTTATGTTTTATTATAAACATGACAGAAATGAGAGGGGAACAGTTAGTGTTGTCCTCAGACATAGCGATTTGTAGAATTGATGTGATTTTAAAGACATTAGAAAACTAAGTTGAAAGCGTTATTTCTGCTTCAATTCTTACTTTTGCATAAAAGGTTTCTTGTCTGTCACACTTTGGTAAAATTTGGATGAACTGGTTTCATTTTCAAAGTGTATTTTAAAATAAATATGTATCTTTATATGATTTATAAGTGTACATGCAGGTATAAATACATGTGTTCCTAAAACCATTTTGTATATTTTCATTTCTGAATTACCCTGTAGCTAAATATTGTTATCAAATCTCAAGATAATTTAAATATATATAAAATAAGTATCTCAGCGATGTTATCAATAAAAAGGATTGCAGGTATTTTTTAAATAAAAAATTGCATTGTATCTTTTTTTTTTTTTTTTTTTGCATTGATCTTAGAGAGGGAGGGAGACAGAGAAAAAAACATTGATGTGAGAGACACATGGATTGGCTGTCACACACACACACACACACACACACACACACACACACACCCCGCCAGGGGATGAAACCCTCAACAGGGCATGTGCCCTCACTGGGCATTGAACCCAGGACCTTCCCGTGCACCGGGAACAGGTTGGCTTGTCTAGACAGAAGGCGGGAGCATATATCGATAGTTTGGGCAGGATTTGTGCGGCCTCTGTTTTCCCAACCCGAAGGCGAGAGAACTAAGCCGCCTTTCCCCCGGGCCTGGCCCAGGTGCGGGGCTGCGCTGGGGCCGCCCGCTGGGGGCGCTGCAGGCGATCGGCGCGTGCGCGGCGCGGCGCGGCGCGGGGCGGCGGGGCGGCGGGGCGTCCTCTCCTGCGGGTCCCCCGTTGTGCCCGGCGGCCGTTTGCGGCGTCCGCACCGGAATGGAGCAGCTGGAGGACCTGGAGCTGCTGATGGAGGAGACGTTCGCGGAGGAGGCCGAGCCGCCCGCGGAGCTGTGAGCGGCGGGGCGGGGCGGGGCGGCGGGAGATTTGAACGGGAGGAGCGGAGGCGGCCCGCGCCGGCGTGCCCAGCGCGGGGGCCGCTGCCCGGGCCTCGGGGGCCCTCCGGCCGGGGCCTGCAGGCCTCCGCTGGGCCAGCGGCTCCTTATCGCCCCGGGTTCACGTTTTTCCCGGATTGGGAGAGCCCCAGCCGCTCCCATGTCTTCCCAAAAGGGAACGGCGAGCTGCTTTTCTCCCTGTTTGCTTGGAGAGCTCTGCACCCGCCTCTCGGTTTACAGGGTCGGGGGTGGCGGGACGACCCACAGCCATGGGTTTGCACAGTTTGCACAAGTGGTGGAGTGTGTGGTTTAATTTTTTAAATTTCTCTCTTTTAAAAAAGATATTTTATTGTTTAAAATATTACTACTAGGTAGTACATATGTCTCCTTTCCCCCCCTCCCTCATTGACCTTCCCCCGTCATTTTCTCTTTAATGCTTATAATCATGGGGCTTATATTTGGAAATATCCTTGTCATAAGTATGTTTTCCAACAGCAGTAACACTGGTGCTGACTATTGGTAACGGATCTTGGCGTTTGGGGTTGAGGGGATCCGGAAGGCGTCCCAGCAGCTGCCTTGGGAAATGTGTGGGTTAGTGCATGTGGAGATTCCAAAATAATAGAACCTAGGGTGATGGCAAGGCAATTTCAGAGCAGTGTTCAAAGCATTTGGTGTGACAATTGGAGAGATGATGACTTCGGCCTCTGTTGGAGTTTTACTGCAATCAGACCGGAAAGACTTAAGAGGAATTTAATATTTTCTAGAGGAGAGATTATTTTGCATGGTTTTCAGGCGGCTGGGGTCAGTGGATGAAAGGATTGTGATAGTGACTTGCCCCTGATAGAAGAGATTTCTGAGTTACTCTGTGAAGGAACGAGCCACTGTATTAGGTGTGCTTTCTGTGCAAGGCAGGGGTTGGCTGATTCCCAAAGAGATTTCATAAGATTTCCTGCATGAAATAGTACATTGGACTAGATGATTTCTATGTTTGCTCCTAAGTTAAAGATTAATGCAATTCTGTGGCTCACTGTTCTATAACAAACATCTCTTTAAAAAAAAAAAGTTTTTATTGCCCTACCTAGCCTGTTGGCCCAGTGGATAGAGCGTCGGCCTGTGGACTGAAGGGTCCGGGTTGGATTCTAGTCAAGGACAGATGCCTCGATTGCATGTCGTTCCCCAATAGGGGGGCGTGCAGGAGGTAGTCAAGCAGTAATTCTCTTCAATAATGTTTCTCTCCCTCTCCCTTCTCTGAAATCAATACAAAAAAATAATAATTTTAAATTGATTTTTAGAGCGAAAAGGGGAGAGAGAAACATTGATGTGAGAGGAACATCGGTTGCCCTCCATACACACCCCCGCAGGGTTTTGGACCGGAAACCTGGTATGTGCCCTGCCCAGGAATGGAACTGGCAACCTTTTGATGACTCTGAACCAACTGAACCACAGTTGGGCCAACCATCTCTTTTATTTACAAAAAGGATAGTGTCCAAAGTGGTCCCTTTAACTTGTCTGCTTTAGATTTCAGAAGGTGGACGCTAAGACAGTCCTGGGCCGCGGAGTGGATAACCGGTACCTGGTGCTGGCAGTCAGTGCTGTGCAGAAGGAAGACGGGAGCCACGAAAAGCACCTCGTCATCACGGCTTCCCAGTCCCGAGCCTGCAAAGAGCTGTGCATCCTCAGGAATGGCTGGTAACTTCTGTGCGACTCCCAGCTCTGATCTGCAGGCTCTTTAGGGTCCCATCGTAAAGCCCGTCCCATGGGCTTGTGCGGCTGTCACTATCATTTAGATATTAACAGAGGGGGTAGTTTTCAACCTGAACTAATTCCACATAAAAGTTACCCCTGCAGCCGGGACCGGTTTGGCTCAGTGGATAGAGCGTCGGCCTGGGGACTGAAAGGTCCCAGGTTCGATTCCGGTCAAGGGCATGTACCTTGGTTGCAGGCACATCCACAGTAGGGGGTGTGCAAGAGGCAGCTGATCGATGATTCTCTCTCATCAATGTTTCTAACTCTATCCCTCTCTCTTCCTCTCTGTAAAAAAAATCAATAAAATATATTTAAAAAAAAAAAAAAGTTACCCCTGCAGCATGTTAAGTCCCTTATCCCGAAAGTTGATTTTTATTGTCCGTTGAAACGACGAAGGATCTTGTTAAATGATTACCATCCTTTTCCCAGTACTTCCTGTTTTAAGATTACAGCTTAGAACTCATCTTCTCACAAAGAGCAAGATGAATCACAGCACAAGAACATGCTTTGGCCTTACATTTCTCTACCCAAGTAAAGCGTGGTACGCTTGGGTGACGGGAAGAGAGGCAGCGAAGTCAGCTCTGATTTTGCCTAGATTTTCTGTCGAGGCTGCAAGGAGGATGGTATGAACTAGATAAATATGGTTTTATCCTTGCTACATTGCATTTGGCTCCCTGCCTCATCGACGATGTAGATACTATGTAAGCCTTAAGAATGAGATAATTTTAAAAACTGAGATAATTAATTATTAAAACAAAATCATCCCTAATTGGAGCTCTGTGTTACCCCATTAAAGATTTGATAGCTTTGGGTGATGCTAACCCAGCTTTCCTCCCTGGGATTAAAGGAAAACCCACGCGTCTTCTCAGGAGTGTTTCAAAGGTGGGAAAGGGTGGTGTGACCAAGAACTGATTCAGAAGACTGCATCCTGGTATTGAATTTTTTTAAACAAGGATCCATAAGTTTAGAAATACTTCTTCAGACAAAAGATTTGTTTATTTTTGAAGCCAATTAATAAACTTAAATGTAGGAACCGAAACGGTGTTGATACTTGGCTTTATTTGTAGGTGCTCTGTCCCAGTGGAGCCAGGGGACATCATTCACCTGGAGGGAGACTGCACGTCGGACACGTGGATAATAGATGAAGATTTTGGCTATTTGATTCTGTATCCGGACATGCTGATTTCTGGCACCAGCCTAGCCAGCAGTATTCGATGTCTGAGAAGAGCCGTC